CTTCAAATCATTGCCCCTTGTCCTCTCACCACACACTCATGTAAAAAGCCCCACCCCAGCTTTCTTCTTGGCCCCCTTCAGATATTGGAAAGTTGCTATAAGGTGAAACCTCCTCTTCTCTAGGCTGAACAACCCCAACTCCCTCAGCCTGTCTTCACAGGGTAGCTGCTCCAGCCCTCTGAGCATCCTTGTGGCCTCCTCTGGACACACTTGAGGAGCTCTATGTTCTTCTCATGTTTGGGACTCCAGAACTGGACACAGCACTCCAGGTGGGGTCTCACCAGAGCAGAGTGGAGGGGGAGAACCACCTCTCTCAACAGACTCGCCATGCTTCTTTTGATGGACTACATGATGCACTTCTTTTTTTTGAGCACTTTTGATGACTTTCGGTCCAATGACCCAAGTCACTAGACTGGGTGACAACATGAGGCTGTAGTGGGAGGAGCTGCATGGACGTTAAGTGATGGGGCACATCCTGGGTTGACTTGGCATCACGGCCTTTCTCCTGCTCCAGAGGGGGTTCCTGATCTCCTGTGCTCCCTTGGTGAGATACAGGCAGCCCAGAATGTGCATCAAATCAATGAGCCTCACACCACATGCCTGAATTTTGACAGACCTAATGTGAGCATGGAGAACCATAATGGTCCCTAGAAAACCAGAAACTAGTAGAAATCAGAATACCCCTTTAACTGTTGTGATTTAAACCTAGAGTCAGTCTTCTTACAATAATGGGAGTCACTGAAGAAGAAAAAAACTGCATCAATGACTGAAATCTCTACCTTTTACTCAAATATTCTCTTTCCCAATGAGGAGCTGCTTGTACTTCTCCTAGACCTTATAAACATGGCATTACAAGAGAATGAGCTGAATTTTCCTCTTCCTCATGTCCCACCAAGAAAGCAAGGTCCTAATTTGTGATTGCAGTGTCTTTGTAATGCCAAATAGCACTATAGGGGACAGAAATAACAAAGCTGAATCATCAGATCACAGAGTTTTTTATCTCTGTCAGAGTTCTAGGGGCAGGCACTTGTGAGTTGGACAGTTACTCTTCTAGAAGGATTTTACAGTTCCTTGGTTGCTAAAGAAACACTGAAGAGAAGCAGAAAATCCCATACTTTTTAGGAAGTTTAAAAGTAATATAGTTCAACTGCTTAGGAACAACAGCCATTATAGACTTGATGCCCTCCCCTGAGATCATTAGGATGACCACAGACACTAACCAAACTGCCTCCAGGAGCTTCTTTTTAAAGATGAAAAAAAGAAGGCACTGAGATACCAAGATGTGTTTGCATCTGACAGGATCAGAACAGCTCTTTTGAAGGTCTCAGTCAGGTAACTTCACCAGCTTTTTTGATAAAGCCTCATTGTTTAAAGTTGTTTTGCAATCCCTCACTTGGAGGTGGGGGCAGCACCCAGCTGGTATCAGGGCTGGCACCTCGGGCTGTGGCTGCTGCAGGGAAGTGAGGTGGAAGACACATGAGGTTGGGTTCCACCATGGAGGAGGGCTTTGCAGCCCCAGCCTGTGCCTTCCTTTCTCCTAAGAGAGGCATGAAGGGCTGGTGTCTGCTGCTTCATGACCAACTCATGGTGTGGAGCATGCATTTGAATTGTAGACATGCAGATGAGTCTTCACTCTTGATTGGTGAGAAGGTTGCTCACTGCATTAGGTCAAACTGTGTCCTCATTTCTGTCTGTGAGCCTGGCAGGAGCCATGGTATACAACATGGGTAGCCTGGCCTCGTAGGGTCAAGCTGGGCCTTTCTCACCTCAAGAGTGTGTGTCAGTCTGGTGTTTACCATCTGATGTATTTTCCTCAGGAATCCATCAAGATAAGGTTTGTTTCACCAAACCCATCAGGCTTTCCCTCAGGAGGGGCACCCTCTATGGAGGGCAGCGTCGGCTGGAGTTGGTACATGTTGGGTTTTGCTGCCTTGCTGCAGAAGAGCAGCAGTAGCTGCAAAACCAGAGGGCACAGCACCCTCTGGCTCCTTTAACAGTACACATTTTATAGATCTCATTGTCAATGGATGGCAGTGATGTCCCCTGCCTCTCTTCCTGGTAGGTTGGTGGCATCAAGACTGGTAGTGCCACAGCATAGATGGGCTCTGCACACCCTCTGTGACCCCGAGTCTGGTGATGGTCTTGAAAAGCTGGATAAAATAACTCAGTCAATTCAATTTAAATTGAAGGCAGATCTGTTGTGTGAGATTTGCTCATAGAATCACTGGGATTGGAAGGGACCTCTGAAGATCAGCAAGTCCAGCCCCCCTGCTGCAGCAGGAGCACCCAGGGCAGGTCACACAGGAGCGTGTCCAGATGGGTCTTGGAAGTCTCCAGAGAAGGAGCCTCCACAACTTCTCTGGGCAGCCCATCCCAGGACTCTGTCAGCCTCACAATAAAGAAGTTTTTCCTCATGTTGAGGTGGAACTTCCTGTGCTCTAGTTTGTGCCCCTTGCCCCTCATCCTGTCACAGGCACCACTGAACAGAGACTGGCCCTTCCACCTTGACACTCACCCTGCAGATATCTGTGAATAAGGTCCCCTCTTAGTCTTCTCTAGACTGAACAGCCCCAGATCTCTCAGCCTTTCCTCATCAGGCAGGTGTTCCAGTCCCTTCATCACCCTTGTAGCCTCCATTGGACTCTTTCCAGCACATCCCTGTCCCTCTGGAACTGGGGAGCCCAGAACTGGTCACAACACTCCAGTGAGGTCTTACTAGGGCAGACAAGAGGGGGAGGAGAACCTCCCTTCCCCTTGCCCCTCATCCTGTCACAGGCACCACTGAACAGAGACTGGCCCTTCCACCTTGACACTCACCCTGCAGATATCTGTGAATAAGGTCCCCTCTTAGTCTTCTCTAGACTGAACAGCCCCAGATCTCTCTCTGCCTTTCCTCATCAGGCAGGTGTTCCAGTCCCTTCCTCACCCTTGTAGCCTCCATTGGACTCTTTCCAGCACATCCCTGTCCCTCTGGAACTGGGGAGCCCAGAACTGGTCACAACACTCCAGTGAGGTCTTACTAGGGCAGACAAGAGGGGGAGGAGAACCTCCCTTGACCTGCTGGCCACACATTGGCTCTCTTGCCCAAAAGGGCACTTTGCTGCCCCATGGATAACTTGTTGTCCACCAGGACCTCAAAGTCCTTTTGCATGAGGCTGCTTTCTAGCAGTTCAACCCCTAATCTCTACTGGTGCATGGTGTTCTTTCTCCCCAGGTGCAGGACTCTACACTTATGCTTGTTTAAGTTCTTCCTGTTCTTTAGGCCCTCCATCCATATTGGCCCAACAAAGGTCTTAAAATTTTTTGCTGATAAACCTCCCATAAAATTCATCCCCACCAGCAAATTTTACTTATGGGGGTTGGAGCAGTGCTTGCAACACATATTGTAGGGTTACAGCTTGGCCAGAGGGCAGAGTCTCCATAGAACACAAAAGCTGCATAGTTCTCAATTAGACAAAAGGTGTAAAGCTGAACTTCATACGGAGACGTTTGTTGTAAGCCACAAATTTTCTGCTCTTATATGCATGGCTGGAAGTGTGTATTTAGCCACGTGGGTTATTAAAAGCAACTCAGTTAATGACGTGTTCCTTCCTTCCAGAGGTCTCCCCCACCACATAATTTTTAGTGGCATTTAGTTCTACGTTTCCATCATCCCAAGCACCCTAGAGCCAGAACATGTGAAGAGATCTCCACACCTGCTGATCTGGTGCAAGGGAACACAAACAAAGCTTCCTTGGGGCTGCATCTCAGTGCTGCCTGGGAGGGGTGTTCTAGTAGCCAAACAAAAAAACCTTGTTCGTCCAAGCTGGATGGTTATTGTTACAGAATCATAGAATTGTTTTGGTTGGAAATGACTTTTGAGATTGTCCAATCCAACTGTTCCCCCAGCACTGCCAAATCAGCCACTGCCCCATATTCCTCAGCACCATCTCCAGGGCTTGGAAACCCCTCCAGGGATGGGGACTCCACCCCTGCCCTGGGCAGCCCAGGCCAGGGCCAGACAACCCTTTTGATGGAGAAATTATTCCCAATATCCAATCTCAACCTCCCCTGGCACAACTTGAGGACATTTTCTCTTCTATCACTTGTTCCATGGGAGAAGAGACTGACCCCCTTGGCTCCAGCCTCCTCTCAGGCAGTTGCAGAGCCAGAGGGTCTCTCCCTCAGCCTTTTCCAGGCTGAACACCCTCAGCTCCCTCAGCTGCTCCTTGGAAGGTTTGTGCTCCAGACCCAAGGGTTACAAAGCTTCAGCCACTTTCTCACAGATTTTTAACAGTAATTTCCATCCTTCCTCAAGCTCTTAGCTGATGCACAGTAGAAAGCAACAGAAATAATTTGCTGTTTTATCATTTGCTGCTCTTGCCCAAACTTAAAATATCTTCACTTAATTCCAGGCTCGCTTAAGAAATAATTAGTTTTAATTTTAGTTCCCTTGCCAGAATTGCTTTGGTGTGCTAGCCCTGCTTAGCACAGTGCCTAAGCTAAATGGGAATGTAGAAAATTCAGCCTTTTTTCAGTAAAGCTAAAAAGTACTTTATTCCTATTGATGTAGTTTCAAAATGATTGAACGTGCTCCCTTCCTCCTAAATGCTTCCTCATGTTGTGTCTAACCCCCTTGCATTTCAGTCAAAGGATCCCTTGGATAATTGCAATCAATTAAAAATCTGACAAGCTACAAGCATTCTCGTTCACTCTAAACCCTGAGTGCTTTTTCCAGAGGTCAAAATTTACCAAGATTAAACTAAAAGAGAAAGAAGGGCTGGTGACCTGCTTAGGTTGAGTTTATTTGCTGAGCAGAGGGAGCCCAGCAGTGAGGATCACCTGAAGTTGCAAATCTGCCCTTAGGGAGGGGTGGGGGGGTCAAATGGGGAGATTTGGGCAGGTAAAAAAATGACAAAAATCCAATTTTAGGTTTTGGGAGGAGGCAAAAGGAGGGGGGCAGCAGCTGTTCTTTCAGGCAGGCTGTTTTGCTCAGTGTGTGTCTCCTGCTCTGCCCGCAGCCCCCTGCTCGCCGTCTGCTTCGCTGCCTCCTGCGGAGTCCCAGGGATTGCCCTGCTGACACTGGGAGTAAACCCCCTCACCGGGGCCCTGGGAGCCTTCAACATTTTCTTGTACACGTGTTGTTACACCCCCATGAAGAGAATGAGCATTGCCAACACGTGGGTGGGAGCTGTGGTCGGTGCCATTCCCCCCGTCATGGGCTGGACGGCAGCTACTGGGAGTCTGGATGCTGGTGAGTACAGACCCTGCAGAGCAGCCATCAGCACTGCCTTTGGGAGGGCTGGAAGGACCTACTCAAAAGAGTCATAGGATCATTAAGGTTGGAAGGAACCTCGAAGATCATCTAGTTCCACCCCCCTGCCATGAGCAGGGAACCCAACCACTAGATCAGGCTGCACAAACCCTCCTCCAACCTGGCCTTAAAAACCTCCAGGGATGGGGCATCAACAACCTCCCTGGGCAACCCATCCCAGTTCCTCACCACCCTGATAGTGAAGAATTTCTTCCTAATATCTGACCTAAATCTCCCTTCTCTCAGTTTAAAACCATGACCCCTTGTCCTATCACTATCTTCTCTGATGAAAAGTCCCTCCCCAGCTTTCCTGGAGCCCCTTCAGGCACTGGAAGCTCCTCTACGGTCTTCCCAGACCCTTCTCTTCTCCAGGCTGAACACCCCAACTCTCCCAGCCTGTCTCCAGAGCAGAGCTGCTCCAGCCCTCCCAGCATCTTGGTGGCCCTTCTCTAGACCATCTCCAACAGGTCTGTATCTTTCTTGTGCTGAGGGCCCCAGAGCTGGACACAGTATTCCAGGTGGGGTCTCACCAGAATGGAGCAGGCAGTAAAGCTCCTCCTTAATGCTTGTTGACCTGGTACTGCTTCAAAAGTAGGTAGATTCTGCTGACTGCCCTGCCAGTGTGTTACAGTGTGGTGCCATGAGGACTGGAGAAGTAGATCTGATTGTATCATTCTCTTTATGAGGGCATTTCAGGGGCAAACAGGAGCTGTCCTGTTGAATCTGTGGTTAGGGCATCTTAAAAAAAAAAGCTAGACATAAACCAGTGTCCTTAGGGTTCACGTGGAAGAAAATGTGATGTAATTTCAGGATTAAAACCATACCCACTTGCAAGTCAGGAGCTTTCAGCTGGAAAATTCCCAGATGTGTTTATTACTGTCTTTCCACAAGCCAGAAAATATCCTAGGAAGATTAATTTATTGCTGTATTTCTTAATTGCCCACTTCTAAACTCTAAGTTACAAATGTCCCTTCTTCCCCTCCTTGAAAAGCAAACGAAGACTTCTATTTTAGTAACTGTGAACCATTTTTACATCCCTCATAAAACACTGATCTCTTCAGCAGCTAAACTCTGACACAGTCAGGGCTTGTTTTTCCTGCCAGTTAGAAACTTAAGAATCCAAGTGGCTCCACATCTTCTCTATTCTGAAGAAACTAATGTAGTTCAATTAACAGGTCTGTTAAGAATTTTTTAGCACACACTCATCCCACAGCGGGGCATATTTAAGGCTGGAATAATACTTTAAACAACAAGGCTTTGAACCAGAAATGACCAGAATCTGTGCAAAATCCATAGCACGCCGTTCTTCATTTCTGCTGCACACTTCCCATAAAAGTCTGAGTTGGCTTTGAGGATGCATGTTCTGATACAGATCTAATCCAGAGCTAGGGTGAAGGGCTTTGTGGGGTTTTTTAAAACATGTGTAGTACTTCTATACAAACATTTATGTCTCTGAAAGCTTTTTTTTCCCCTTATGTTTAGAGCTATAAATGATATGGATCTATTTGTATAGGGTCTCAGTCTAAGGAGTGCATAACTGACATCATTAGAAGCTCTGTGTTTCTAAAGGGAATGTTTTCAAAACTCAAAATATGTCTTTTTCACTGAATCATTCTGGCTGTAGTTGCCTAGATCTTGGAAGTTGCTGTTCAGGGGTGACTGTGTTGGTTTTGGCATCTCTTCTCAGAGTTGATGTTAGAAGATGACCCTCATGTGCCTGTGCTTCACCTGCAAAGTCCAGCCTGGAGCAGCAGGAGCAAAGAGCTCTGCCTCACCAAAAGCCTTTGCTCTAGTGGCTGTCACAGCTCAGATTTTCACCCCTGGCTTTCAACTGGCAGCTAAACTCTTGCAGCTGATGCCCAGCACATTTAAGTAAACTGGCACTGGTTTTGGTGATCCTTAATTTGTCAAGTTACAACTTGCTCTTCCAGACCTGCTTGGCAAAGAGCTAAGCTGTCCCTGTACTGCAGGCAGGGCAGGGGGCAGAGAGCACCACCTTTGTTCCAAGAAAGCTCTTCCTCCCTAATGTGCCACTGAGATGTGGTTGCCAGCTCTGCTGTGGAGGGAACAATCTCTGGCAGTGATGCCATCAGTGGAGGTTTATAACTTTAAACCACCTGAGCAGACTTTGCCCAGAAGATTATTATCTGCACTAGTGTGTAACCTGGTGTTGTTCTGTTCGTTCTGGACAACTAAAACTTTCTCCAGTCACCTCCTAGTCTGTGCCAGTGAGGCCAGGAAGCTGGTTTAACAGTGAGAGAACTGTTACTGAGCTGATACTGATCTTTGTAATGAAACACACCTGGGGACTCCTGCTCCTGAACATGGTGACCTGAATGTAATGTGGTTGTGCATCTCAGTGTTAGAAAAAAAAAACAAACGAAAACAAAAAAAACATAGAAAACCCCTCCAACACCTTTAAAAAGGAAAGACAAATAGAAGAAAAGGATTGCACACTGTGATTTTGAGTGTTAAACGTTCTGCTGTTGCAAAGGAGGTTTCACACAGGCTGCAGACCTGCATCTCTTCTCTGACCAGGCCTACCCACCGGTGTTGAACTCATTAATAATGTGTAATTAGCTTGGAGACTTAACCTAGTTTTTTGTAGAGGTGTGAGAATGCATTTGCACCTCGTTTAAAAAAAAAAAAAAAAAAGGAAAAAAAAAAGATTGATCACTCCACTCAATAACAAAGAGGAATGTGAAGGAAGGGAGTTAGGAAACTAATGAGAAGGAAGGTTCTCACCACTTAACTGCTGGCTTTTTGAGTTTACATTTCCTTTGGAAATTTTTTTCTCCTTGTAATCTTCTCACAACAGCCACATTGTTGCTCATGTTGCTGGTTGTAGGGAAAAGTGTAGACTTTTCATTACCATTTGAGGGGGGTAACCAAGTGTTCCAGGTCCTGTGTGGCTCCCCAGGACCTGTGTTTGCACACCCTGACATGGAAGGGGCTCCGTAACATCCCTGGCTGGGTCAGAGCTGGTCCTGTGAGCTGCCCTTGCTTGTTTGAGACAGTTGGAGATTATTCCTAATTTCTGATTCCAGAGATTGGAGCAGCCTTGTTTTCATTTGTCTTTGTTTTATCTGTAGCTTCAATTAAAAGGTTAATATCTTGACAGTTTCTTGCACAAGAAATAAATTTCACATCATTGCAGATAAAGAACTGGGACCCTTCTATTTCCAGTGATGCAAAGAGTTGCTTTTATTTCTTCTGCTGCACATCTTTTTCAGATCTTGCAGTGATTCCCAGTGATGCTTGCATTCATTTCTGCCCCAATAGTAACTTTAATTATATGCTCTAAAACCTGATTGGAAATCCTGCCCCAACCCTGGATTTTGTGCCAGCATAATTTAGTGAAAACCTCACCTTTCAAAAGAGAAAGATAAGATTATCTCTGGGAAGATGTGGAATTCTTTGTTGTGGGTTTGGGGGGTTTTGCGGTTGTTGCTTGTTTTTTTTAATGGCAGCTGTTTGAAACTGATGAAAGATCAGGAATGTTAACATTTCCTCACTGGGGGAGCCTAGTGCAGGTGAGATGGTCAAAGGTGCGTGATAAAAGTAATTTATCACATGGATATCACTACCACATATCTGGTGTATTTATGCAGAACTGAACTGCCAGTGATTTGCAGTAACACGTTTGCTTCCTTGAAAGCAGATTTCATTGCTCCTTTGTGGTACTATTTATTTCCAAAGGGATTTGTTTTCCTAGTAAATCTTGACGCCTTCACATTATTTCTCCTGATTTTACAGAGGAAAGATGAACAGGAAAATAATGACACTTACTTAAAGCCCTAAGTGGCAGCATGAAGACAGGAAAAAGAGGCAAAGCTCTGCAGAGTGTCCTGCTCTGTGCTGGATCCTCCTCTGGAGCAGGATCCACATGCAGGAAGCTCCTGGCCCTGCCAGGCTGCTGTGGAGCCTGTGTACAGACAACTTTAGGAAGGAGCAGAGCTATTTGTTTGGCATGCAACAGGCACAACCTGTGCAGGCTTTAAATTACCCTCGTGTTGTTGGTCTTTGTCCCCAGACTAATTCCCCAGCTTGCTTGTTAGAAATGTTTGTTGTCAATTTAAACTTACTATTTCTAGTTAACAGAACAACTGAAGCTGAGCTGAACATTCCCAAGTGCCACGGCCCATATTTTGCCTTACACATTTTCTGCCTCTTCTGCCAACCATCCTGTGCTTATGCCCTGAGGACTTGATCCCAGCCTGGGAGCAGTGGGGGTGTCTTGGAGCAGTGGGGGTGTCTTGGAGCAGAGCAATCCAGCACCACCGTGTTCATAGAAACCACCCAGCTAGATGGAAGTGACAAGCAGGGGTCCTCAACATAATATGCTTATCAGTTAAGGGGATTTATTCTGAGTAGGTGGCAGTGGCAGAGCAGATAACAGCCCTGACAGGATAGCAGACATTACAGACCCATGGTGGCCTGGAGCCATAGGTATTACTGCATCAAAGAATGTTTATCTCAAGAGACTATTTAGTTTATCTCAGATGCTCCACTTTTGGTCTCTTTCCTGAAAGACATCTTGTACTGATTTTCATTCATTTTCTGAAATTTAAATAATTCCCGGGGCTATGGAATTTATAGACTGAGTATCCATTGTAATCATGTGGAGGCTGATTTTTAAATTGCCTTGACTTTGTAATTCAAATTGTGTTGTATGGTACACATTAATTATGTCAGCCAACATCTATTTACAAACGGGGATTTAAAACGGGCCGTTCTTATCAGCTGGTGACATTTGGCAGATGGATGGTTTCAGTAACAAAAAAAAAGAGAATAGGGGAAGGGGGGGGCTGTCCCCAACCTGTCAATGGCTGGAGTCTCTCATACCTTTCCTGATGTAGCACTTGTCTGCCAGGAGGAGGAAAAGCAAAGCAACAGCTTAATTGCATGCAAAATAAGCTTGGAGATTATTGTGTCCCTTC